AGACCCTCTAGTTACCAGCCCTGCTCTCCAGCATCAACCACAGCTCTCGTATTCAACCCCGTATCCTCCTGGAGTTTTTTTTTTATTTTTTTTTTTTTTATACCCATGGTGTTGAGTAGCTACGTTCTCCAGAAAGCTTGCTTGTCTGTGTCGCTCGGCGTTTCTGGATCTCCACGCTACTCATGTGGGGAATTGCCCCGATCGCTCTTCCTAAATCTTCCACAGCACTGCTTTTTAAAGCGCCTCTCGTGACGCACTCGGCGACACGTTTAATCGAGCAGTTTCCCCTCTCTTCCTAGGAAATAGGCCATTGCTCTATCAACATTACCTGAATAACGTGCTACAAAGGAGACACAATTTCAGCACTATGAGTAATGCACGCTGTGGACCTACTGATAAGAATGCTTAGAACATCATTTGTCAGATGATGGTAAATTCCTTGATTGACCTCTCTGTACTTACTGTAAATTGCTTTCAATTGTGCCCTGGGGGAACTGATGTTAAAATGAGTCTCCTCTCTCTCCCCCCCCCCCCCCCCCCACCCAACTCACTCAAGGTTCAAAGGCTGCTAAAGATCCCATGCAGCCAATGTCATCCATGCGTCACGACACGAGGACTTCGGCGGAAAGGAAGACGTAACCCACTGACATAAGCTGTGACCTGTGTGTGTCTGCAAACACTACTCTGAACGGCGTTGGCAAAGCTAACGAGATGTATTACATTGTGTGTGTCTGCATATTGCATTTTCATGACTTTAGCATGAGCACATCAGATGTAAACTATAAGGATGTATGTGCTTAGAGAACTTTGGGGAAAATAAAATTTGAGTGACTAGGGAGTAGATTTCACTTGTGAATTTTTTATTTTTCTTGGTTGCTGCTTGGGGGTTTTGACTTGAGTGCCAGACTACAAGCCACTGACCATCCCAGCACATGAGCTTCATGACCAAGGGTACAGGATAGGTTGCCCCCCAACTCTCTCATCTGTTTCTTCATATGTTGAAAACAACTTGAATGGAGTCAAGAAGTAATAAGAATGTCAGACGATGTCATAACATCTAAGGCGTTCATACAAGGACATTAAGCAACGTCGTGTTCGACATCACGATATAGTAAGAACTTAAATGGAGGATGGGTGTGGGGTCTCGGCCTGCAACGAGTAGTCCGACGCTAGCTAGGGGACATCCGTGTTGAACAAATCTATGGGAGAATCCCGGAAGTTGGTTGCTGCTTTGTTACGCAGTTTGATTCATCACACTGCCTGTTGGTGTACTTGGGGTGTACAGAACCACTGAAACACTCAAATCCACGCATCAGGATGCATATTGTCTTCAGAGTGCCTGGTCATTATATATTTTTTTAATTGACTGAGATTGAATGTGTAGGAAACTTATAGATTGCAAGAAATAATTGTTCTGATGTGGCTTCACACATTTGGTGTGGCCGGTTAAACTAGCCTGGGTGCCTTCGCACGACATCCGGAGGGAATCTTGGGGCAACGCTGTGCCTTTTTAAACGCTTCCCGGGGTGTCATTTTTGTTTCAGTGACCTCCTTTTGTCCTTGAAGTAGTATTTAATTAACTCTGCCGTCTGCCACCACAATTAGATCCTCACCATCTGAACGGTCAGCTTCGGCCGTTAGTAATAAACTCATCAGTGACTGCGAAGCTGCCGGTGATGCAGAAACCTCTCTCAGGTGGGGTCTGGCTTTAGCTGTGAGAATATCAGGTCTGCAATTGAACATCGTCAAAAATCGTGCTTTTAGGGAATGTTGGTTACACACTTTATATATAAATATAAATAATGTTTTGATATTTGAATGTTTTTGTTTGGTTGGCAGCATTTATACATCTTGGGTTTATTTATTTTGCTTTCTTTTTGTATTTCTTGAATGTAAAAACATTTCTGGACGTGTTCGTCCTTTGGCATTTATCAATTGGTGACCGAGAGACTTTTATTGCAGGGAACACTGCAGAGGTCACCGATTGGGTTCTGCGTGTCTAATTAGGTAATTTCCTGTGTCATTCGTTTTTGGAGAGTATTAACCCTTAAAATGTAAAGTTAGTTTCCTATGTTTTTCTGCGTGAGGGTTTTATAAGAACTATTGAATTTTGTCTCCCCCTTTTTTTGCTGGAACTAAACTTGAAACCACTTATAGCCATAAATTCCTGGCTGAAAAGAATAGTATTTTTATTTGTTTAAATCACTGTATTCAGATAGGGGGTTCATTTATAATTTTCTTTATTTTTTTGCTGTAATTATTAGCTTGGATTAAGAATAATTTCAAGTGAACTGTACTGGGTGACATCCACCTCATACGTGTGTGTTTATATTTGGTCCAGATTGTGTCACAGGGTAACTTGCATAATTCATTTCTTTTTTCCAAAATATAAAAATGTACCTGTGAATAATCGTTCCTGATCTGAGCCATATCTAATACATTCTCCAGCCCTGATTGTTACATTTTATTTTGTGTGCATTTTGTGAATGTTTTGTCATCCAAGTGTCTGTGTAGCGCAGCTCTTGTTTCAAGCTCCCTGGACATTTAAACACTGAGAAATAGCGGCAGCTGCTAACTCCAACACTGCCCCCAAACACACATCTCCGATAGCAAGATTTATTCCAGACACAAAATGGAAGTAAGCATAACTAAGGCGATACAAGGGCTTGTTTTGTCCTGTCTAAATCACACTCTAACACTTAGTTGGAAATGTTTTATTGTTCCTTACACATGCCTTTTATGTATATTGTAGGAAGCATCCTGATTTTGCATGCACTCCTACACATTTTGAGCAATTTCTGAACATGGCAGTAGTAGAAATATTCATTTTTTACAGTTGGAATATCTGGATATGAGCATTGCAATATATTTATTACAAGTCATACTGTATGCCTGGAACAAAACTGGTGTAAGCGTACTCTGAGTGCTGTGCTTGAGTTGAACTGTAATTGCATTCACTTGTAAATATAGATTTGGAGTTTTGCAGTTTGGCATTGTTTGTCTTTTTTCCTTTAGAGTTTCTTTCATTGCATCCAAGTTTGGAAGGAAGCTAATCTACATTTGAAGCACACCTTTGGATGAGCGCTATGCACCATTTGAGGTCCTGTTTTTAGTTAGATTTAAATTTTTTTTTTTTTTAGTTTTAATGAAGATGGATTTAACAGTTTTGGGTAGTATGATGTACACAAAGTATTTATATAATTTGTTCTGCTATGTGTTAATGTTATTCTGAGGTGAATTCAAATCATTAAAATAGACCCTCAAACTGATGCAGCCCTGCAATATTTTTAGGCGTTCTCTTTTGGACACAAGTTGAAATGTAAACGTTTGGCAGACTGCTGTTTATAAATATAATGAGTCCAAATGTTTTTGCGGCTCTTCGGTGCTCAGAGTCCATTTAAGTAATTGCTCAGTGTAGAAAACTTGCAGCCCTACGACATATAACTCCAATTCAGATTGCGAAACGGTCGCTAGAGGGCAGTGTTTACAACCTGTAAATCCGAGTAGGACCCGCGAGAGGACGGGCGGCATGAGGTATGCGTACAATGACGCAGCCTGGGTTTTAAGTGACGTTTGGATCCTGTTTTTGTTATCTATGGTAGAATGAGTTCGGCTAATGTACTGTTATCAGATATTGTTTATATAGTCGAAAAGGCCTGTGATGTGCTTTTGGTGGTCCTGTACAGATTATTTAGAGCTTTAGTATGTGCTTATCCTAATCTAACTAGTTTACAATGTTTTACAATTTGCAAAAAAGCCACACATTCTCACTAACCCTAATAATCGGAGATGAGCGCATCACCGCGGTTTGCTCTCTCAAAGGAAAAATTACAAGGGACAGTCTCTAGCACATTAAAGACCTTCGACTTTAATTTTTTTTTTTAAAGTATACCACATCTGTTTTCTGTCACTTCCTGGAGGCTATTGCTGTGTAATCTATTGCATTAGCTCACATTAGTGCATATTGCCCAAGGGTCTGAGAATTCACAAATCACTAAATGAGCATTCACTTGGCAACGCGCTCCGATTCCCAGGCTCCGCAAACTTACAGCACATACAGGGAAGGATAAAAACTTCTTCCGAAGTATCACATGCAAATTGATGATGGCGATGATGATATTAATGACGATGAACCCCTCCCCAGATTCATTAAGTTAGCTCTGGGGTTTCTTTTGTGGCAAAATTTCAGCTTAAGCTTCTAAAAATATTTTTTCTTCAGAACAGCATTTTTCCTGCTTTGTTTTAGCTGAGTGAACTAGCTACTAATTGTGAGCCAGGGGAACGCGGAGCAGTTTTGAAGCCCTGAGCCCCTGACTGCCTCCTAGTTACAGCTTTGTGCATGGAGCGGATGGTTAGATGATACGACCAGTCCAGGTTAATGACAGAAGTATTCAAGCATTATGCAAACACGAATGCGCGGCTTTAACTTAGCAATGGGTCAGAATAAGCGTCATTCTGCCAGTTGCACTATTGACGGTAAGTAGTACTGCGTTTCAGAAGAGTATGCACGTTAAACACCAAATATATTGCAATAAAAGTTTTTTACGAGTGCAGAGAGAATCGTTAGAAATCGACGTATTAGTTTTCTGTTAACATGTTTTTGATAGAAATGCGTATTAAGTGCCAGACAGATTTTCAAGCTAAACATGTAGATGCCAGGTTTATGCTCGTAATGCGAGTTTACTGCCACCAGAAGGAGATACAGACCCAGTTGAGTAAGTCATGTTTCCTGTACCATATCAGAGGTCAGTTAAGATTTACAGCAAATATTTTAAAGACGGATAAGGACGCATAATAACGCTCATAGTCTGTCTGTATAACAAAATGCGCAGTTTTTTTACGATACTAAATATCTCTATTTTTCTGCAGTCAATCCCCCTCACCGTGAACTACTGAAATATACAGGATGCAATGAAATAATATACTTATTGTTATTGGTATACCGTTATAGGTGCTGTCTAAATAAATAGAATGATGCTGAACAATATTCGTACTGTTCCATACACCAAAAGTTAGAAAAGATTGCAGAAAGGCAAAATGTCGACGATTGCTGAGTTTGCAAGGTGTGTTGAAAATGGTTCAGATTTTAACCTTGGGGAACCTTCCGATTATTGAATTGCACTTAAACACAACCTTTACAGTACTGGGTAATCCCATCTAATGTACTACATATATAGAAACTAGGCCTACATTGGAAAATTGACTGAACATTATTCAGCTATGCAGCATGTTGGTTTGTGCAATTAATAAAATGTATTGGAAACTTAAATGATCGACAGTCACCACTGGCTAGAAATAAACTTTTTATCTAATGAGGTACCCTTCAGATTAATTCGTATAAAGTTACGATTGCAACATATACAGTATAAATATGCAAAAGTTCACGAGCAACTACCTCACCTATACTCGCGTAATTATCTCCTTTTTGTATGGGGTGATCTATCAATATCCACTAGGGGACATACGTTCGGGCAACAGCTGGGATTTTACGCTGAAAGGTGCGGTGTTTACGTCAGGCGCAATGCTATTTTTGTTGTAAATAATTCATGTATCCAATTCACCTATTATGTCAGTTTCTAAGCAACCTACCCTGCAGTCACAGAGAAGGTCACAAAGACTAACAGCTAGGATGACCGCAAAAGAAGAAACGTTCTTGTGTAGAGATCTAACAGTAAATTAGCAGTAATCTAATAATACGATATAAAAAAAATAACCTGGCACCGTGATTTTGACGGAATATGTATTGTTTGCCGTTAGGCCCGATGCGAAGCCATATTGCTGTAAGAGATTGTTACATGTTTAAGTATTGGGATACAAAAAGTTTCACATAATGTGATCTTCAACCACTACTATATCTAAACAATAATACATAAGACACCGCATGAGATATCTACGCTACAACTAAATAATTGACATTAACTTTCTATTTAGATTTTCTATTACACAGCAGGATGTATTTAGAAAATAACTAATTTCACCGGTTCGCGTTGTTTTACGTTCTGTTCTGTTTCAGAGAGAAGGTCACCATGACGACGCAATAATGACGCATAGATAAGAATCTCCTCACGTGGCGATATTTGACCCAAAAAGGCAACGAGAGAAAGGCATCGGAAGTGTTATCAGAGCGCAGCTTCCAAACTGTTTGATCCAATCATCATTCAGAATCTGGACTATCTGTTTGCTGTCTGTGCAGAGTGCGTGGAAGTGGTATCTGAAGTAGCTCAGTTTATTTGTGGCTGAAGTCAGCTACGTGATCATTTTGTCTTGAATTACAGCAAACATTTCTGAAACCTCTCCTAGATCTTGTACTAGATAATAATGATGGTTAGATTGATTACTGAACACTCCCTCTGGAGCAACGTTTAAGAAAATAACCTAAGGTTACGAAGACGCTGTTATTTTCCATTTTTTGTGAAACAGAAATGTAGTTAGGAGTCATCGTAATAATAAAAACGGCAAGACGCTTCCAAATAAATTACCATTATTAAAAATTCACACAATCAGTTGAACAATGAACTAAACCATTGATTCATGAAAATAAAACAAATTCGAGAACACTACTTTCTAAAAGTTTCACACTTTAACAAAGGAATCATATCTGTGCTATTATTTCAGATATTCACAAATGTAAATTATGACTCTTGGCTAATTATGCATTTTCCAGAAGGGGATAAAGGCACACTGTGTTGTGTGTATCTGCCTGCGAATTTGCCCTTGCGTTTAATGTAATGTGATTCCACAAACTTCAGACTGATTCAATGAACAGGTCATAAAGGTCTAATTAATGAACCTGGATCAAAAAGGGGAACAGAGCCTGAGTACCACTGGGCCAAAGTGAGCGATTGACAAGTTACAGACATCTATGTTTATATCCTGGCATGAAAAGCGCCACTTATTACCTAAAATAGTGTTAGGGCTAAAATCCATTCATAATTCATCTTCAAACTGCTTCTCCGGGTCAGGTTGGCTGGGGGTGGGATGGCTGAAGTCTACAGGGCGCAAGGTTGGGGGACACCATAGAAAGGGTGACTAAATAGTCATTTAAACATCAAAGCGTCAATTTGGCTGTTGTGCTCTGCAGCGGCAAAGGTACTGACGCCCATTTCTCTGTCTCATTATCACCCATGCGCTTGGGTTTCCATTCTAACAGCCTGTATATTTCGGTGCTCCGCTATACAATTATGACCTGCGACTGGTGACTAATGGCGGATTCATTGAAGTCTTTCATTCTAAGAGTGTGAAAGTAAAGTGTCAGTATGCATTTACTCATTTATTGACTCACTCCAGTCAATAACGCCGGCATATTTCCATAACCGCCTCTGCTTATTTTATCCAGAGCTGGCAAGCAGATTTTTGAAAATGTCTCACCTTTAAGTTGCTTAAAAATATTTTGGATGGCAAGTCTGTGGCTATTAGTATAAAAGGAGGTAGGTCTTGACAGTAGACTACACTTTAATTAATAAAAGTAATATCTAAGGCTGCACAATCCCTTAATCATCCATCCATCCATCCATCCATCCATATTGTAACTGCTTATTATAATCTGGCTCATTGGAGACCTGGAACTTATCCCAGGTGGCATAGTGTATGAGGTGGTTCAGTGGGCAGTGTTGGTTAGGGGTGAGGACATTGCATATTTACTCTCTTTCCTCACTCTGACCCTAGAATGTGGTTAGAATATGGATGGATGGATGGATTGATGGTTGGACAGATGAGTGGAGTGCATAGGCATGCATTTATTCTAATTGGATTCTCAGAATTGCCCGGAGTTATGACTGTTTGTGTGTAGTTGTCCTACCGCGGACTGCCGTCCCTTATGCCCAGCGGCTTAAAGCTTAGTTCACACTTCACTTTTCCGTGTGCATTTTTGGTGAAGAATGAATCGGCCCTAACTAATCTGCCAGGGTATCCATGCCTCTCCGACACTCCCGAACCCAGCCGTTCTTAACAAATACGGAAACAACATGAGTCAAGCTAACATTATACATTAACACATTTGACTAGTAATGACACTGAAGTTAGTGCCAAGGTACATGCGTATCTCAGACTGGTAAAGGGAAATGAATATGGTTAATTATTAGCTGGTTTTGGTGTTGGGTAGCTTAGCGGTTAGCACAGTCTCCGCAAACCTCCAGCGTTGTATGTTCAAATCCTGCCTCTGGCGGTGTGGAGTTTGCAGGTTCTGCCTGTGCTGCCTGTGCTGTGCGAGTGCTTGTGCCCTATGATGCATATTATGTATCCTAGTAGGTGCTTTGCTCACCGTGACTCTGTACTGCCCAAGCGGGTGGAAGATGGATGGATGATTTATATTGAAAAGATGCCAAATTCTTTTGACAGCAATGTCAAAGACAAGATGTTTTCTGGCGTTTGTAAGTAAAAATACTTAAGTAAATTTGACAATGACATTATAATGTTTGGTGGCATTTAAAAAAAATATTTTTGCATTTTCTCCAGAGAGCAGATTGACAAAAGTCGTACATCAAAACTGTGATTTGCCAATGTAGGACATTTTTTAAATTGTTAATGTTTTCTAGCCCTACCCAGTGAAAATGAACAAATCTTGGGCATTTCCCAATGCATGTATTTATTGAACATTAAGCTGATAGCATGCAGAGCTTTCTCTTTAACGTTTGTAGCCTGGAAACATTATCTTTCTTATATAAGGGATTTGTGGGAATAAACAACAAACATTTGTTGAATATCCAAAAATACTTTTATCTCATGATTCAGTTAGCCACCTAGCCATTCAGAGTTCAGCTGACTGAATCGTTTAGAGGTTGTCACCTTGGCAACGAGCACACAAACCAGTAAAACTGCAACGCCAAGACAGGATGAACATAATTTGTTCATCATCAGCATAATGCAGTTATTTCATACCGTGGTGAAATACATACCTGTAATTTTGTACAAGCAATATTACCAATAAAAAAAACAACATGACGAATGTTACTGTGAGATATGATGCTAATCTAGACTTAATCACCTCAATTAAAAGCATTTTTGAACATTAACATGCCTTGAACACTGTTCAGTGCCAATAATCTGTGCTCAGTACTACCCTGGATATCTGTCATCAGTGGTTTAAACAGGGGCTGGACCACAGGGTTACTGGCCCCAACTGAAATCTGATTGGTCCCTGGAGTTCCCCCTCCCCTGTCATTCACCAATTCAAAACATACGGTTGGCCCATTTGACACCTTTGAAGCACTCCCACCTTTAAAAAAAATCCTGGAATTGCCCCTGTTTGTTACCATGGTGAAAATGTGCAAAATCCAGTCATGGCCAAAAAAGACCAATGTTAGGAATGGAAGTGAAAAGTTATGAGGAAACATTAGTTCAGAGTTCTGCGAACAAAATGGCTGTAGACTTGTGTGCTTTGTTCTGCTTTTGGTCTTTTTGATTCGATGTTTTGGTATTAAGGGTGTCCACATGTTTAAAGAGAAGTTCGCTTCACAATGTTTAAATCACATCTTAACATTATGTAATGCTTGAGCTCTGTATGTTTGTCAATACTACTTTTCTTTTTTATTCTCAAATGAAAGTTTGAAGACTCATTCTATGGCTTTATGTTATCATTGGATATCTGACAGTGTTAATAAGAATAAGCTCAGTCTTGTTTTTAAAGATTAGAAATTAATTACCTGTGTCTTCAATTCATTTTTTGAATCTATTAAGCATCTAATAATGTGACAGTGTCCAGCGAGTATTTTGTCTGTGTGCGTTTTGATGTTTTTCTCAAATAACATTAATATGGAAACTTATTAAACTATTTATTGTTAGAACATAATGATCAAAACGTCTTTGATTTCATCATCATTGGAACATATTCTGGTTCTCATCCTTAGAGAATATGTCCAGGTTCTCTGAACCATATGCCTGTGGTCCCTTCCATTCCAGGCTCTCAAAAAGGAACATTTCTGAGTGCGATACAACTTTAACGACAGTATTTCATCATGATTCTGACATAATGATTCTCTGTGTTCACTTTTCTGACGCTACCTTCGAGTACGTCATTTTTTAAATCTTTGTTTTGCTATGATTAATATTAGGTCTATAATTTAGTGCACGATTCAGCACGTAATGTTCTTTCACGCCACCTTAACAATCATTCATCTGTATAAATCCCTCGTTTGACACAGAGAGTAGTTTTGCAAACACTCAACATGAACAAAAAAACCAGCTTAGAAACACAGAGTTTTAACATTTAGTCCTCAAAAGGCCTTTTTCCTTCCCCCATGTAAGTTCAACACACAAACAATCATTGCAAGTACTTGTTGCAGCATTATATCATTAAACAAGTATCAGTACCTGTAAAGAGTCAAACTGAAAGGATATGAATAGATCTCATTTTCTTCAATAGAGGACTGGAGGAGGAAGGAAGTGACGATTTCTTAATTCTGAATGCTACTTCACTTGTCGTAGGACAGTACAATGACGTGTAATGTCCCTCAGTTACCTTCAGACTCAATTCGTTCCTGGTGCCTCTCACCACGTCAAACTCTGCAGGCAGAATAATGGCCCTAATTTTTTTCCTTCCCCCTCCAGTGAAAGGCAACTGTTTCCCTTCGCTGAAAACATTTGGATTTGTGAAAATGGGCAGCCTTCAAACGTTCCAGCTTCTTATTTTCAGTAATGCCGTCATTCGTAATTGTTGCCTCCATGTTGTTCACTTACATGAATTAGCAATCAGGTCAGTAAAGCTACGCCGGTCATATTGTCGGTGTCGTCTGCTGGATTTAGGGACAGAAACTCTGCTCTGGGTGTGATTGCTCATGATTGTCACTCTATCCCCCTGTGGAAGAAGAGTAATGTAATGATTTCCACAAAAACAGCCCCTGGCTTCAGGAAAGGGATTTGGGTGTCTGGAGACAACTGAGGCCATATGGAGTGGGGTTGGATGGCAGGACATACGTACCGAATAATGGATGACGTGTCATGTTTCATGTTGCCGAGGAGCCGTCAAGAGATTTGGTTCAGGGAAATCAAAGGAAATGCATACAGCAAACAGGACCTGCTGTATTTAGCAGTTTTACCCATTTTGCAGTTCTTTCTCCCTCCAAGTAACTTTTGCTTAATTTAAAGATGTAACCTAATGCTTAGGAGGCATTTATTTGCCTGAAGTCTGTGTTTGGCTGCGTTATATTGATTATTTTTGGATATTTTGCAAACTAAGCTTTCTGGTAGCTAATATAACTTGCATTCCTGGGATAAACTTTGATATCTTCTTTTTTATTGCTTTGATTCACTGCCATAATACAGGCTGGGAATAATAGCGTGAGGTTTTATGGTCAAAAACTGGCAGCAGGGACAACTTATCATTGATGTTAAATATTCAGACAGCAGATGCCCAGGCTAGAATGTACATGCTGATTCTGTAGGATATTAATAATGAAATTGTTTTGAATCTCGAGGCACACGATGCTGATGACAACACTTCCAACACAGAATACCGTAATGTTATATTTCCAAATAGTCCTTATTTTTGTGAAGCCCATTTGAAATGTTTGTTCGTATTATTTATTTATTTAATTTGTTTGTTTGTTTATTTGCAAAAAGTGAATTTCTTTATGACACCTAATTAAGGTCTTTCTAAGGTGTTAAAAAAGAAAAACGTAGTGCACAGGTCCATGTTCTCTAACGAGGTTATGCAAATTTTTAATACTTGCAACTTTTGGACATATGAAAGGCCCAGGAGAACCCGAGTATTCCGCTGCAAAGCGGCGAGGATAATGCCATACTCAGCAGAAAAACTTCACCATTTCCTTCCTACTTATTTTTATTATCTTCTTTGTACGAGCCAGTGACATTCCAGATCCAGACCAGGAAAGACCTTAGCTGGAAATGGCTGGAAAACCACATTGCCGGCACGTTCTTGGGGAGCGTGTTGGGGCTTGGGGCATGGGGAAGCAGTTTTGCAGTGCTGCTGGATGTGGTCCCCCCCCCCCCCTTTCCTCACCTTTGTTCCCCCTACCCCCGCGCTCCACCTGCATGCGAAATAAGCCCGGCATCTCGCCTGCGTCGCCTCCTCCTCTCTTGTCAGGACCACACTTAAGTGTCGTTTCCGATACCCATGAGTAAGCGCCGTGAAAGCCTCGCCATCGGGCTGGCATTATTGTTTCTCCTGGATGATTGATTGATGGATGAGGCCTGACACTTCAATGAAGCTATTTCCATTGGCATCTCTATCCGATGATGTGCGGCGTATATTTTCCATCCATGCCTCATTGCTCGCCTGTGTCATTCCTGGAAGTTCATTTACACCATGTTCCCTGAAGGACCTTTTTTTTTACGTCGGCCTTTCTCCATTTCTTTCCCCCCTCCTCTCTCCCCCCGACCCTTTTATTTTGTTTTTCGCACTCCATAAAGTAAAGCCATTTCATGTTGGCACCGGATAGCTCTGGAATTATTTGTCCAAATGAATAAAATCAAAGGTATGGGGAACTTATTTACAGGAAGAGTTTTAAGCAGGAACCTACCGCTATACCTTTTTATAGACACTCGGATGCTTTTATCTGAGAAAAAAAAAAATGATTGTAGACGGGGCTTGGAAAAACCAACCTTCTGGGGTTTATGCCACAATATTTGACATTTTGGTTTGAATTCGGTGATGAGAGTGCAGGACACATTTTGTGGATTGGGAGGACTCTTCATATTTGCCTGAACTGCACTGAGAACTTGAATTGAGGAACCTCATTGCAGTTTCTAGCTCATAAGAGGAGCAGATGGTGGGGAGCTATCAGACTCTTGGAAACGACAGCCGTGCGATTGGCCCTTAGGTGCGATCGGAGCCTCCTCACGGTAAGTGAGTGATGTGTCAGAGATGGCCGCCCATACGAGCTATGGCTACCCTCTGGTTGCCCTCCAAATGACCACACACACGCTTCCGACACTGATCCTGACACTCCGAACCGGCCTGCTTTTAGCGCCATTTTCCGAAAGCTTCATTCTAATTTCAGCAGGTGCCGAATCTGCAGACCTGCCATTGATTAGCTGGTAAGTTCTTTATGTTGCTTCGTTCTGGTGCCTAAACATGCCTCTAATTCCATGTCGTGTTCATGAACCATGAATGACTCATTGTGTTTTCCTCCACACCGTAAATGCTACCTATTTATTGGTTGGGCAACTTACATTTAACATTTTTCTACAAAAATATTGTATACGTATTGCTGGATTTTTACAATATATTATTTATATTATATATTACTTATTTATATAAATCTTTATTTTTATAATTGATAACTTTTATATACAATATTTTTGAATATAGTACATTGTATATGTCATGCCTTGCTCGTGCCGATCCTCCTGTGTGCCACGCCCCCCTCGCTACCTCGTGTGGAATCCCCGTGTCATCAGCTGTTTCTCGTTGTGTTTCATTAGTTATGTGTATTTAAGTCTGTGTCTGTATGCCTTTAATTAGTCTGGTCATTAATGTTATGTAGTGGTTGTATGCACCTGAGTGTATCTTCCCTGATAAAACCCCACGTTCACCTGATTCTTCGAGTCCTGCTCCTGTTTCCCCGGTCCGTGCCACTTTGCTCATGGCAGTATATTTCTATGTATGTATAAAGCTGTGGTGTTTTAGTCCAACAGGTGATTTTGCACGGATGATGAGATGATGTAACTGACTGCACACAGGACCCTGTGAAGCTCAAGAAAGGAGCCCACGGAAATAACATCAGCGCGTCCCTCTTATCAAAGGAACCATGCCAGCCATAAAGGGCAGCCAGTAACGGGGATGGCGAGACATCGGCGCCAAACCCAGTTGATCGGTGACATGCCAAGATGAGGGGAAGCCACGAAGCAGGACTCTGCAGTGAACAGGACCACCAGATCCGCTCCCGCCAAAGTGCAGAGCCGCAAAAATCTGCACATGGTCATTCTGGCTTCGTCGATGCTGCAAATCATTTTCTCTGTATTTGACTCTTTTTTTTTTGCACAGCCGGCTGCTCACCAGTGCTCGCCCACTCTACAGAGTGAGATGGTGTTATCAAAACATTAGCGGACTCACCACCAGCTGCACCCTCTGCTCTAATGGATGTCTGGAAGACCAGCTGATGAGGGAGTCCGGGTGCGATGACCTTAGCAGGGGTGTCTGGCCAAAAGGCGACTCCATTTGTGGTGATTAATGGCAAGAGCTAAATTGATAAAGTCCTGGGATCTCACTTGTTGTTCTTCCAGTAAGCTTATCTTGACATGAAAACTTTTTTTTTTTTGCAGGATAACAGACATCCTCATGCTGTTCTGTTAACAACCACCGTTGTCATGTGAGACCATGAAACCATGGGCCCTGCTGACAAATTTTCAGATAATGTAAGTCTCAGAGCTCTGGTTTTGCTGGGTGGATGAACCACTGCAATTACCACTGCAATGTAATTACTATAAACTCTGGAAAACTCCTGATCTTCACCCTCATCTTTGCTGGCTGATTATGGTTTTTTACGATTGCTAACAATCATCTCTCCACAGTGAAGTAATTTTTGGCAAAACTCTTCACACAGTTTGCACTGCAACCACTTCTCATTTAGCAACGACCATTCGCAAATACTACGGTAATAAAAAAAATATATTTTCCAACCAATGCACAGATTTACAACCAAATTTCAAATGCCTGACAAAAATACACACCGGGGAGAGATCTTTGAAGTAGAATGTACAAAAACTTCTTAAAGATGCTCAGAATAAAAGATACTGAGTATGGAAGGCTGAAGAAAAGTTGTAAGCACAGTTGCAGTTATGCCTAGGTTGCCGTGATTTTCACTTAGCGACCATTTCGCATAAC